CTGGGTCCACCTCCTGCATCCTCCTGCATGTGACAGTGCAGATCTTTTGATTGGGGAAATAATGCCTTTCCACCGAGATCTCGTGAGATTTTTCAGTTTACAGATGAGGTTTCCCAGGAAGTCACTGGCGATGTAATCTTCCCAGGATGCATCTGTGAGGCCAGGGCTACATCACCAGTGCTTCACTTAACCAGGAAGTAATGAGGGGCATTAGATGACTTCTAGTCCTCTCTTCCTCATCAAGAGGGGTGAACAGGATTCCATCCAGAAATGTGCAAAAGTACAGTGGTACCTCGGTTCACAAACTTAATTGGTTCCACAATTCTGGTCGCGAACCGAAATGGTCGTGAACCCGAATCACATTTTCCCTTAGGGTTCAATGTAAATCAGGTTAATCCGTTCTGAATCATATTGAAAAAAAAAATGTAACAACAAAAATATGAAACAAAGCACAGTACAGTACAGTATGAAGATAGTGAACACTATCCTTGTCACCTTCAATAACGTTCTGCACATTCTTGTCACCTTCATTAACGCTCCGCACATTCTTGTCACCTTCATTAACGCTCCGCACATTCTTGTCACCTTCATTACCGCTCCGCACATTCTTGTCACCTTCAATAACGCTCCGCACATTCTTGTCACCTTCAATAACGCTCCGCACATTCTTGTCACCTTCATTACCGCTCCGCACATTCTTGTCACCTTCAATAACGCTCCGCACATTCTTGTCACCTTCATTAACGCTCCGCACATTCTTGTCACCTCTCTGCGCTTTCTTTTTCCCTCCATGCTTGCTCTGCACTTTCTTGGGAGCCACGCTGGATTGAATACAGTAATACTGTACAGTACTGTGCTACAAAGCACACAAAAAAGCTTCACAGTCAGTGTCCACAGACCTGTCTGCGACCGCAATCTCGAGTACAGGAGGCCACGACCATGTGTCAGAGCGGGGGAAGATGGCCCGAGGCAGAGTTCGCGAACGGAGGCAAAATTTTGACGAACTTCCTGGTCGCGAACCGAATTGTTCGTGAACAGAGGCGTTCGTGAACCGAGGTACCACTGTATATGAAAATATATTCTGCATGACGGTCTCGGCAAGGATGAAACCTTTTGCGTTCCCTAAACCTAATCTTTATGATTTCTCTTTTTTAAGGATCCATTATGCTCTGTTCTTGAGATCTCATTTCAATCTCTGAATGAATCTTGTCAAATGCAGAACATCACTAAAGAGGTGAGATACTAGTGTATAAAGTGTGTGTGGTGGTGGAGGAGCGAGGGTTCATCTTTTTGTCTGCTCCTTTATTCATGTGTCTCGTGACATTAATTTGCAGTGTTATGACCTTCCAATCTCTCACTTAAATTCAAATACGTTTTATTGGCTGGAACAAACACATTAGCATTGGCAACACATTTGGGAAGTCATTACTATTTCTACACAAAGTCTTTCTCTTCTCCATATCTTCTCTCTCCCCCTCCCACTCTTTTCTCTCTACCATCTGTCCCCCAATCTTTTCTCTCTCCCCCTTCTCTTTTCTCCCTCTTCTCTCCCCCCTCCCTCTCTCCCCCTCCCTCTCTCCCCCTCTCCCTCCTCTCTCTTTTCTCTCCCCC